AGAACAAGCGTCTGGACAGCAATGAGCGCGCAACAAAGTAAAAGCAAGCGAATATATAGATTCGGACGGCCAGTATTTCGCAAGCATGGTCAGACCCGGATCTGACCTCATTCGAGAGAGGGTTGCGTAACCCTCGGCGCGTGACTCGGCGGGGCGGCACGCAGCAAGGCGTGACGCGGCGAGAGACAACGCGGCTGCCCGGAGCGTCGTCTGCTAGGTTAAAGAGAACATCTGATTTACCATGACAGTGTCTGTGATCTAGATTAAAGGAAGCAACTTCTTGGGACTCCCTTCTGGAGGATCCGGCCGGTACAGGCTGAATCTGTCTTTTATTTCTATCTCGAACCCTTGTCGATTTCAACCCGACAAACTGGTGGCCAGCGGGTGCCTTTAAGAGGCCTTACCCTGGTGTTTTCTTTCTTACGGTGTTCAATTTTACGTGTTTGATTCATACGGGATTTTGTGTGCCTTAAGCCCTCCCGGTGCGACGCGTATTGAAATTGCACTCACCACTTTTGAGTCCCGTTGCTTCTTCTTCAAAAAATGTTGGCCGTACCCCTGACACCACCAATTGCGAGTAGGCTGCGGGCCGGGCGCCCATCTTGTCGTGTTTTGGGACCACCGCCCGCGCCACCCAACAGCCATCCCATCTCGCGCAGTACTTCCAGTACTGGGAGTTGGGCAAGCATGACTTCACGGTCCTCGCGCCGCTCCCAGCCAGCACCCCCGTCTGGTGCTCCGAATGAACCTCGACGCTCCGCTTCTCAGGGCCAGGGTTCTGTTGCCGCGTCCAGCCATCGTTCAGCAATTAGCGCGGCCCGTCATGGCCGTCCCGCCATGGTCCGATACGTCCTCCGCATCGCAAACATTATAGGGGCCGTTGATCACCTTCTGCGGACACCCAAACTTGGCGATCCGCAGGCAAGGTTTGAACAATTTGTGCCCAATCTCCTTCATGCCGCGGCACGTCTCATAACGCTGCAGCCCGGGCACTTTACCAAAGTTGAGGCGGCCTCCGTACAGCAGCTCAAGGCAGAGGTAAACAGCATCATAATTCATGCCCCTGATGTTGCCAATAGCACGTGGCCTAACCTACGCCCTACGCAAGCGCACGTTCTAGGCGTTGCCTTTCCGGTGCTCCCGGCACAACCAGACAAGGCGCCTGGCCCGTCTGGCTCTGCGCCTCCCCCTAGCAGTCAACTTGCTTCTGCGCCACGGGGGGCAGGCTCACAACAGGCTGCGTTGGTCCCGAGACCACGCGCTCCATCAGTTCTGTCCCCTCACTTCCTGGAGAGTTATGAGATCATGGATCCTGGGCCATCATCCGTACTGGTCCTGCCGACCAGGACATTGGATGCATACAGTCATTCCCTCCGGATCTTTGGGACAGGGCCAGCCCCACGTTTGGCCCATCATGATCTTGTTTAATCATATGAGAAGCAGGCCAGGGCGCCAACCTTCCCAAAATTTACAGGAGCATCGGCGTCCGACTACCCATTTGAACGCTTATGGCATGATTTTACTCCTGTCCATATCATACCGGTCATGCGCCTAACAGATACTGAACGCATTCGCATCCTGTTGCTACACATGGATGGCCATGCACGCTGTAATCTCGGCGCCTTTGCGTACCAAGACATAAATATGGACTATCTTAGCGTGATACAGGTCCTTTTTGCTGAATATGGGCAAACCGATACACACAGGCTTAAGCTATATCAAGAGTTTGATGCCTTGCCAGCACCCACTACATGCATGGAGTTCTATGACTACTTTACGCATGTCATTCCCATTGCCGAAAAGCTAAGCACCATTCAAACTGACATGAACCAGGCCTGCCTGCGCATGGGCCCTGTTCTTTGCGCTCACTTGCAGCACGCCCCCTTTTTAGAGCTACTCCAGGTCCACTCTGATAAACATGGGTTTGCGGTTGAAAATGAGAATGCCTGGGCCCGGCGCCCGCGTCATCAATACCGCTTCATTTGCAACTACTTTGCGCTAACACTGGGGATTACTGAACCACCCCCAGCCCTGGCCTTCCAGGGTGCTGCGGCAGCCCCCTCGGGGACCACTCCCCCAGCAACTACCACTACACCCGCCACTCCAGCAGCATCTGCCTTGCAGGCTGCCATTGTGGCCATTGCCACTACCTCAGCCACTGCCCAGCGGTCCAACAGCCGCGGTCGGCGCAATGGCAATGACCAATCGAACAATAATCAGAATCCGCGCCGCTCCTTCAACCGACAAGGGCGGTCCCGCTCCCGCAGTCCGGCCCGCAAATGGGCTTGACGCGGACGATCTAACGATCAACCACGAAATTGCTCTCCGCAGCAATCCTGTTCAGATCAGCGCGGATCCCAGCATTATAATGATGATCGCAATTGGGATCGGTCCAATCAGGGTCAGCGTCATGGTCCCCCAGACCGTAACACCTGTCCCTTTTGCGCCGGGCAACATACCCCTGGACGCTGCCCCCTCTTGCGGCAGGAACGCGTGCAGGCTGTCCGCTGCTTGCATCTCTGCCAAAATTGCCTGGGGCGCAATCACTACGTTCGCAAATGTCAGGCACGGGGGCGATGCTTTCACTGTCAGCAGACCCATCACTCGTCCACCTGCAATCAGCGCAATAACCAGAATAATGAGCGCCCAGCAGCCGTGGCTCAAGCAGTTGTTGCTGCCCCCGCAGTTAACCAGGCGGCGCCTGCAGTGCAAGCAGCACCACCAGCGCTCGCTGCAGCAGCCCCTGCGGCAGCACCCGCCGCATCAGCATGACATGATCCGGCGGCTGAGCGTCGATTGGTCCTGGTCATTTCCGCTCCAAAATTTCTTATACAAAGGGCAATTCGTTATCATGCAATCTTTCATCTGATGTAGAATTTTGGTGAATTTTAATTATATGGGAGAACCTATTATTTGAGGCAACTCATAAATGTCATGGATACCATGACACATCAACCTTGATTCTTTGGAAAAAATTAAATGATTAAGACCCAACAATTGTTTCCTATTCCACTTTGCTCCCGGAAATAAAAGGGAAATAACTTCAAAAGCTTGTGATGTATTCTTTCTCATTTTTTTTTGCTACACATTATTTGCCACTGAAATTTTTAACCAAAGGAATTTTATCACTCAATCTTTTATCCAAAAAAGAATGTGGTTATATTTCGAGGGAATTCTAGAAGAAAGGCCGTTCTGCGAGGCATCCCACAGAGGTTTGGGATACCCAAACAACAGATTAGTTGTTTTCCATAGAAACATTATATCGAGACCCCTCATTTTGTAATTTTTTCTCACGTTTGTCTCATTTTCTCTGTTTTTTTTTGTTGTATTTTTTTTTCATGTGGAAATAAGTTCTTGACTGTGTGCTGGTGGAAAAACGTTATCTAAAGCAGGGAAAGCACCAGACACACGGCCATGAATCCCCAGGCAATCAAATGGCTGACGCGTTTATTTCACCATCTGCTCCACGGAGGAAAAAAGAGGATTCAGATTGATTCCAGATTGCTAATGTCTGGTTGAATCCCTCCCTCAGTCTCCTTTTTTTCGTTTTTTTCTTTCTTTTACAGTATTCATTCACGGTATCTATCGAAATCAATATCTGTGGGATGCTGGGAAAATTCATAAAACAAGGATTAAGAAGAGACTTGTTCATTTCAAAGTGAGAATGACCAGCAAATTATTCAAACTTTTGATGTAAAACGAACCCCCCAAAGGACCAGCTCATTGAAAAAAAAATATATATATACAGTATTACAAAACGAATTTTACAGGGGGTTCTTCCACGTACCAAAACCAAGTACTGTAGTGCAATAGCTTATTGCCGATTATTACTGGTTGATGTTGTGATATATGCATTGTAAACAACTGCCTTATTGTAAAGTCTTTTTCACACTCCTTTGCATCAGTCAACTGAAGCGATTTGGGAATTTTGAATGCTGAAAACATCTGCAGACAAACTCACATCTACAGTAACTTTAAAAGAACACAGGTTTGAAACCTTTCTTCGATCAATAATCCCGTTATTGCATCCAGAAGTAATTGTCCTGACATCGGCACAAGACTAAGTTAAATTTGCAAGATCAATAAATGAGGCAGAGAAAATATGTTAATTATTCACTTTTGTCTGGACAATTGTGATGTTGATGAATCCAGTAATTTGCTGGCTGGCCTTGCTTGAGGAGAAACAATACCATTTGTGCTTCAATCCTTGCAGATCTCTTCTGTTTGTGAGACTGCACTATGGGAAACATTTTTCAAACCTTATTGTGAATCCTACAAAGCCCCAAATAAAGCTTATGTGTATCCATCAATCCAACAAAATACACTCATACAGCAAAAAATTGATCATTTTTTGGGAAGGTCAATTTCCATTGCGCAAACTTTCGAAATGTATCATGAATTTCTTAGTAACTATGGGAGAGACTTGCTGAGTTTTTCTTTTTTCATCCTATAAAAAAGCTGGGAGAATGAGTGACTAAAATAAGTGAGTTCAACACCAAACATTTTTAGTGATATAACCAAACCTTGCTCAACAAAAAATTTGAATTTGATGATTTATTTGAGCAAAGTGTGTTGTACAATACTTGTATAAACCTTCCTGTGGTTCATCCCTTTTTATTTCCCAATATAATATCTGAAAATTCCATTCATTGAACGCGGTTTTTTTTTATACAAAATTGTTTCAAGCTCCTCATCTATTGTAGAGTGCTCATATCTATAGCACAGTATACCTTAGCTATAAATACTGTATTAGATTTCTAATATTTGCCAACACGAAACAACAGAACAGGGTTTATAGCACTCATATATCAGCATATAAAACGTAGTCTATTTGATAAAATACGTTTTGGTACCTCCAATATATTTTTTTGGTAATCACCTTCAAAATATCTTCATTCAACCATTTAATATCATTGTGAACTTGAAGATATTAGCCGATCTGTTCCAGATCGCAAGTTACGGTGCATAGTTTTTAATCAATTTGAAAATATGTTTTTGACTGATAAAAAGCGTGGCCAATGTAAAACACTGAATAACTGGAAAATTTATATATAATCCACAATGTGGGAGCATTGCAGTGCTAAAATAAATCACATATGAAATGGAGCAAGCATTTCCATCAAAATTTGATTTTTTTGTATTGCTGTTTCTCACTGATGCAAAACTGAGTCCATTACCTGAAGCAAAAAACCCAGGGTTGTTTGAGTCCATGACATCCATTGAATAGGAGATTTAAAATCAAATGACATGCTTTTTCATACCGCTTAAGGATCTCAAGAAATAATTTTTCGAAGCTGGAAAAAGTCTCAAACTGAGCTTTCTGATTTCCTTCATTTCAGTAGATTCTTTCCAGAACACCTTCCGAAACGTTCATCTTCAGATGCGTCAACATACTCTCAAAAAACGAAAAACAAAAAACCCCACAACTTGTTGACAATATTGCACAGAAATAAAATGAGGCAAAGAAATCTCCTCCCACTCCCTACGGGGGTACCATGAAGGAAAGAAGATTCCTTCCTTGGCCCATCTGGGAGGAGCATTCAATGTTTTCATCACTACGGTATATATATATATAAATTGTACAAGAATATACGCGTCAAGTGCTTTTTCCCTCGGGGACGGAAAGAAGAAAAAGCCAACGAGGAAAAAATCCCCTCCTCTGGACTTTGCAGCTGGAAATGGGAGATATGGAGTCCCCTGGGAGAATGTGGAGCCCCGCCTAGAAAGTGGGCGCGCGTCAATCCAATCCGCTTCTCATCATGGCCATAGCCCAGAAGATTTTCTTCCGCTTCTCTCATCTTCTTATTCTGCTCTCTGGAAAATGGAACTCTAGTAAGTTTCGTCCCATCAAAATCACAAAAAAAACAGTCGTTGAACATGGATGCAAAACACAGTGAATACCAGTCACAGTAGTGAACTCTCAGGGACCTGCTGATACAAGATTTGTTGTAAAGAAAGACTTGTTCTAGCGAGATTTGTAATTTTCAACACATTTAAGACTGAAATTTTCTGGGAAATTGCCAATGATTACTTCAAAGTACTCCTGAAACGAAAATGCATCATATATCATAATTAATAAGTATATCTGATGATGAAATGACAAGAACACTTTTGAAGTCAACATTACCTTCATTACATTAAACCTGCCTTTCTACAAAATTGTTGTTTGTCATGGAAAATGAATTGAAAAATATGAATTTTATGTGGTAGAAATGCTGTTCTTTCTTCTGCATCAACAACACTCATACCTGTCCGAGATACATTTTTTTCTGACAAACTGTTCACAGGTGCAGTACCTCACAATTAAATCATTCCTCAATTTAATATTCAAATTGCAAGGAAGTTGACTTGCAATTTGACCATTGCCCTGCATTTTGACCTGCTTTTCCGTTTTTATAATTGTATTTTGAATTAGTGGAGTATCCCACAATTCAATTGTTTCGCAATTTGAGCCTAATACTGTATTACTGTACTGCATATTTTTTGAGTGAAAAAGTTAACAAAACTTTTCAAAGAGTTTAATGTTCATTTCAAAAATGTCAAACATAAACAGAAGATTTTTTTCAGATGCTCAAGGAGCACAAGGACATGCACGGAATTCTGAAAACTTTAATGCAATGTCCCCAACAACAAAAAATACTCACATAAAAATGCATAATGAAGTTCTTTGAACAATATTCTATGCACAACCAAATGTTCCTTCATCAATTATCTTGTTATGAAAGCGGAGAAAGCCATGCATTTTCAGCGAGTTATCATTTCAAAGAGATGAAATATTTTTCAAGGTAAGGTAAAAATGTTTTAAAATAAAGTTTAAATAACTTGGGGATTATCCAGGTACTGGAAACTTTCAAGACATAACTTTTCAGAACCATTCTTTGTCTTGTTACAAATGCAAAAAAAAATTTGTTCAGGAATTTTGCCAAGGTGCAACATTTGATTGTGGTGAGCTTTTCTCCCCATCAGGCACCTTTGTGGTGCATCCTTGCCTCGAAAAACTGTTCATGCATTAAGCCCAAAAGGACAGCCATGCATAAGTTCCCAAATACTAAAAATATGCATATCTATAACAGTGTTTCAAGAATGATGCTTATCCCACAATGCTAATCTTAACCTCTCAGACATGCAAACTGCATGACTACAGTTTCAGTACTTTCTCAACTAAGTTTTGAAAGCAATGAACTGTATAATATTACATTCTTGCCCCCAAAATCTAGTAACCACAATGTGGTATAAAAACCTATGTCCAGCTTTAGATAAATCAGTTCATCATTAATCCTCTGAGAAGGAGTCAGAGTTATGTTTAGGCTTCCCCATCAAGCGTACTGTCTTGATTTGCAAGTGTGAAAAATCAGATTAAAAGTAAACTGTTGTCAAAGAAAAGTCTGTTTGTTACTTTCTTGATAAGTCTCGCATTGCCAGCAGAGAATTCCTCCTCAACTAAGGAGTGAAGAACCACAAGAGCAGGCACTCTCAATGGTCCCATATTTTTATCTTAGTTATTCTTCCAGGTAAAATTATTGAAATAGGATAACAGTCTACAATGTACAATTACATAATGCTGGGAGCTGAACCTTAATTTTCATTTTTCTAGCATTTCTTGGCAAAATTTCAAGATGAGTTTAATGTTAAGAACAGGATAAATCATGTGCATCCATTTTTGTGCATCATATCAAATTTTTTTCCTTTTTCTGGAACACATTATTTATTTGCAATTTAGCCTCAATTTTAAATAGGCCCATCCAACAAAATAATAATAGCATGGATACAGTACAATGTTAAAAAGAAATTTAATCTGCATAACGTTGAGCCCTTTTTAGTAAAATGCCAAGGGACTGACAAACAACTGGATAAATTTACAAGTTAAGTAAGCTACTATTGCAGGAAGGTGAAGTCTGTGATGGTTTTAGCCCAAAACTGCCTTGTGTAAAAGAGTGGACAGGATGCTGAACTTGGAGGCAAGGATTTATTTTCCCCAATAAGTCTTTCACTTACTTTCAAAAATAATCATGAGCAAAAGTTACATTTTCATGACTTTTTTCCTCCCCTGGGTCCCAAAAGCACAGGGCATTGAGAAAATACGAAGTATATAAATTTGGAGGGTAAAATCTTTGAATAAGAGAGTTTTATACTTAAAATATTGTTTCCATGGAAATTCAGACAGGGACTTGAAAAACATCTGAAATCTGGAGGTTTTAGACTCCCAAGGAGGGTTTGAGTTATCCAGGTTCCATGGTGAATTTTTAGAAAAATTAAGCTTGTAAGGAAGAAAAAAAAACTTGGTTGCAGTCCCAAACTGGTTTCCTCGGGGGACCCAGGTTCGCACCCAGGGTCCCAGTTCCGCGAGGCGCCGGGTATGTGACATTTCTGGAACGCGAACCCGGTTCGGAACTTTTCATTTCCGCATTTAAATCCCTTTGTCCTACAATTCAGGAGGGGGTCTAAAGTGGGATACACAGGGACCCGCCAGATTTTTTTTTTCTAACCCAATTACTGGGTTCAAAAGCTTCACCAGGCGTGGAATTCATTTCAGAGTTCAGCCCCTGCATTCTTCTTTCTGGGTTCTGAACCGAAATTTAAATTCTTCGAAGTTTTGTACGGATTGAGATTTTGCGGTTTGACTGCTAATTTTTCTATCCTATTTTTATGATCCCTATTTGTATAACAGTTGGAGCAATATTTCTTCTGGCAAACTCTTCGAATCGAATGATACATTTCCTGTAGATTTATCTTTCCATGTTATAGGTAAATTATCTCTACTGACAATAATTTTGGTCGCTAGAATTTGCTGTGATGGGCCCACGTGTATATATGGAAATTTCTGACCACTCGCTTCAACGGAAGTATGAACATTTCTTTGGGTCGTTTCTTATTTGAAGTATTTCCTAAGTATATAGGGTGGACTAAGGCTCCAATCAGTCAATATTTTTTTATTACATCATCGAAAAAAGAACAGTTTCAAGACACTATATCCGCACTTTCGAGTTTAATAATTTATCCCTTCTTCTGATTTTTTTCCGCAATTCAAAGTCAATTTAAAAAAAATGTTTTATTTGTACAGTAAATTTACAGGAATTCAATTCGCGCCTAAATATTAATTTGTGTAAAGTTTTTTTAATGATCATGAGATTTTTAGCGAGAAGATTTTTGTCACTATATAGCTCTTGGTTATAAAAAATTTTGCCACTGCTGAAATTCGAATAATTTAATATTGTGTTGCTGTTGTATGCATGTTTAAAATTTTTAAACAATCAATTTTTAAGCTCTTAGTTGGGGAAAAATTACGTATACTTTCACTTTTGTTTCAGCAAATCTTACGGTGAGTAGATTTGTGTTCAGAACAAACTACAGTATTCTCCATGCTCTCAATTTTTAAAGTGTCAATGGACATTATACTATAAATATGTAGATGTTTTGTCATAACCCAGGTTTCTCCATTTCCTATAGTAGTTTTTGTTGGAACGAAACCTTGAAGAATCTAAGGACATTAATAAATGACATAAAGTGATGAAAATGTTTCATATGATTCTTCAGTACGCGTTTGTGGAAATCAACTCCGAATCGCTTATTGCAGTCCTACGTTGTTATTTTTCTAACACACCGCTCCCTTGAACTGGCTATGGCCAAGTTTATGATTTTTTTGAAATTTGAAAAAATAAATCATCAACATTTTTCAGCGTTTCTTCGTTTGTTTCTCAAGCAAACAAAATAAAACTAATGATTAATCGTCTCCGCATTGTCATTTCGGTGAGTGAAAAAAAAAATTGTCTGCAATTCAGGGGAGGTAAATACCTCAGAAATTGAGATTCAACGCGGTTTTTCTCGCACATACACAGATTTCCGTAAGATAAGGCGGAGATTGGCCGGAAAGACCCGCCCTCCCACGAACTTATACGCTCTGACTCCGCCCCTTTTCGATCGGGTCACGGGTTTTCCGGATCAATCACAGCCCACACGCCGAACAAGGTCCTCCCCTTCCTGGATTTCAAAGCCGTTCGCCCCCTTATTTTTTCTTTGCATGCTGTGATTTTCTGATCTGTAGCATAGGGGTGGAGGAAAAGACGTTCAAGAGCAGTGACACAAACCGGCTAGGGTTTCATTCCAGTGGGGTGGTTTCAACACGTGAGACATTGTCCTGGGTTCCATGTATCCATCCAGTGTTTTGAAGGATTACTTATTTTAAATGGTTATACCTGAACTCGCGTCCTGAGTTCGATTGTGAAGTGTGGGTCTGATCATTTATTTTCCTAGTTTTTGTTGAAAGCACAATACAATGCAGTGAATCCCCAAGTACCAAATAAATTAAAAAAATTTACATAGCAGTAGCAGTATTCAGCAGTAAAAAATTTACATGACAACATTTTTAAATCAAACAGAATGCGTTGATCGAATTTCTTCCAATTTTCTTTACAATATGGTAAATCCAAAAAAGCCTTAGTTTTATCATTTCAACTTATTTCAATTATAAAAAGATACACAAGACTGATGAGGTTTATTCATTTCTAGCACCAGAAATTCATGAATTTTGAAAAAGTTGAGAGCTTCACATTTTTAGAATCATTTCCATTTCAAGCGATAACATACCAGGCATAGTGTGCTTTTCATTTTATAAAATGTATATAGGTCTTCAAGGTCAGTTATTTAGGCTTTTTTTGGGGCAGAATGGAATGGAATAACTTATTTGAATCGCAACTTATCGAGAAGAATCGTGTTCTATTGAAAATACGCAATAAAAATGTGCTTAATTTTTATTGAGCAGATTAATTTTTCTTTAATGCAGCAAAGCACTTGGTTGAATGAATTGCTATCCTGCTGCAGTGAATCCACATTATGATTACTTTTCATGGATGACTTGCATACTTTTCTTTTTTCGCCATGGACGCAGACTATACAAACATATGTTTTGTGAATACCATGGTGTCTTATTGGCTAATGAACACCATTTTCTCAGTGTAAAGTTTGTTCGCTGAAACGTTTTTGAACTGCGTTGGAACAATTTGAATTTTTTTGGGAGATTTCAGTTGAAGCTGAGTTTATCTAGTTATCTATCCAATGAAAAACCTTAGTGAAAATTTAAATCCAGAAAAAAGTGTGTGTGCCTGAAATTTACGAGTCATGGAGTTTAGGTGCTGAAGACACAAAATGGTTGGACATATGATTACCTGGAGGAAGAGAACAAAGAAGAGTATGTGATTGGTCTTTAATAGGCCCACAATTTGGACTTACTCAAATGCCACATACTGGTAAGTATGAAACCGTTATATTTCAAAAATTGTACGCATTTTCATTTTTTTCTGTTTTCATTTTCAATGGTTTCACTAACATTTATTTTCATATTCAAATTCAATGAAACATCACCATAATTCTGAGGACCAACAAATCCAAGCACTGAAAATGACCGCTTAATTAGTGAAAGGCCTGCAATATGTGTTAGTGAACCTGGCTTACCTTGGAAAACTTGAATGAATGTGGTACAATAATTCAAATATTGTATCAATATTGTTTGTGCTGCAAAGACCTTGAATCTTAGGTAGTTTTAAACTTTGCCTTTTAACTTTAAATGATCAAAGGCTAATCACACAATTTGCCTTCAAATATCATGGAGCTCTTGCTAAGTGGGAAGTCATCATTCTGATTGTTGCTTATACAATACAGCCAACTTACAGGAATGAACTTTAAAAGCCCTGTGAAAGTGATTCTCCTGTTTCAACTCACTCACTTATTGATATTTGTGTGCTTTTGGTGGATTTTTCTTTGTTTGTTCAACTCTTGTTAATTGAGTGACTTTCATTTCTGTCAAAGAATTTCCTGTTCAAAATTTTCTTTGCAAGGGTCTTAGTAAAGCAAGGGAACTACTGTCATGAAATGGAATATACTAGCTCTAAATACAAGGGTTCTAACAAAATTTCTCAGAATAAAAATAAAAATGGTGTATAATTGAGCTGAAAAAAATTATTCTTTAGTTAAAACATATTCTTGGCACACACAAAATCAGCTCTGTTTTACCAATTTTTTTGAATGTTTTGCAAAATTCACAATGGCAGAGTTTAGCTCTCCACTCAAAAGATTTGGCACCCTTCCTGCATATTTTATTGATGTAGCCCAGTTTCCCCTGAGAATTCTTAAAATCAAAGAGGCATTAATCTGCATTGTTAAGGCAGCTGTTGATGAAAATGGTGGAATTACCTTGGAAGACCTGGAGGCAACCCTTTTGATTGATGCCAAGTTGATTTCTGGAATTCTGAGGGGAAAGCTGGGCTTCAACAACAAAATCCGCAAGAAGGGCGCCTCATCTTTTGAGTGAAGAGCAAAACTCCGGCAGGGTGAATTTTGAAAAACGTTCAAAGAACTTTGTCAAGCAAAGCTGATTTTTTTTCCAAAGAATATGTTTTTCTTGAAAGAATAATTTTTTAGCTCAAATATATACCACTTTAATTTCTATTCTGAGAACTTTTGTTAGACCCCTTGTATAGTGAAATCAGGTTACAATGCACTTTCTGGATTTTGAAGAGTTTTTGTCCTCCATTCCATCTTTTGTCCCAAAAACCAGTCAAAGTGACATTTTGAATGAGAAATTTGAGACTGTGTGTGCCTTCATTGGGCATTTTTCATGGGAAAATAACAACATACTCCTCAAAAAAGTCTGTTATGCTGGAATTGGCAAGTTTGTTGTAATGAGGTTATTATAACATGTATACACAGCAAGAGGATTTCTGCTGGTGCTGGGACTTCAGAGATACTGTAGTTGGTTTTACTGATAAAAAGTGTTTCAACAATCAAGATATCAATGTAATGCCTGTGGCCTATATATGCACAGAATCTGGGTCAACATTTGTTATTACAGGATTCATGCCTAAAATGAGTTTATTAAAGAATAAACTCAGGTTGGGTGGGGAGGGGGTTTGGATGCGGGAGTTCTGGTTATCCCTTGTGAACGCTGAAAAGCGGCAAATAAAGTTTTCTGTTCATTCATTCATTCATTCATTCATTATAGAATATATTTATAAAATGGCACTTATGGGAGTATGGGACCAAACAAAAACTGTTATAATGAAACATTTCTGGTGACAAGATTTGTTGATTTCATTGTAGTATAGCATGTACAGTGTAACCATTTCTCCTGAGGGCACTTGCACAATTCAGCCAATTTATTGATGCATCTTTGCTGACGTTTTTTTTTTTTTCAAATGGAAGGGCAAGCAGGCGTGAACCAATTGGGCGGCGTCTTCGTCAACGGCCGCCCCTTGCCCGACTGCATCCGGCGCCGCATTGTGGAGCTGGCCCTGCATGGTGTCCGCCCCTGCGACATTTCCAGACAGCTTCTGGTGTCACACGGTTGCGTGTCCAAGATCCTGACGCGCTTCTATGAGACGGGTTCCATCAAACCGGGCTCCAACAGTGGTGCCAAAGCCAAGGTGATCTGAGACAACTTACCACAACCAAACCTCTCCAAGTTTACAAACTTGCAAAAAAAATAAACAATTGAGATATAGGGAGGTACTTTATTGAGATAAGGAAACAAGTACAGTACAGTATTTTTGTTGAAGGGGGAGCCAGCAGAAGAATTGTGGGAAATTGTGATTGGTGATTTTCAAGGCATTTGTTGGGCCGATTAAACGACGAAAAAGAGTTGTGAAAGAATTGAACACAGTATGCAGCCTTTAGAGGCCGGATCCTCTTTAGGAGAGTCCCTTACAGCACCACACCTTTAATAGAGTCACAGGGTAACCACAGAAGGACAAGAAGTACTTTCAGGTACACAACAGATAATCGCGATAGGAATAATTGCTCTGCACAACTGCCATAAGGCAATCCCAATGTCTGAATGAAATGATTCCCAAAGTCTTCAAGACTTTGTCCCAGCTTCTGCCACCAGAGATCCGTCATCAGTTAGCTACTGACCCAGTTTACCGCAATGCGGCAAACTGGGTTCCTATCCGCTTCTGGGCCCTGTGCTTCTGTTGCTGCGCAACGTGTCTGAGCAGGGATGCTTGGGTCACGCCGCATGGACGCGACCCCACAGCATTAAACTTCTTCTTGAATTAAATGATAGAATGCTGAACTCATTGTTATAGGAGGCAAGGGTTTGTTCGCCGAATCCATTTTTATTTTTCTTTCAAAACAATGTTACAATTTTTGTTGCCTGTCTTTTTTTCTATGCCAATAAAATAACAGCCAAAGGGTCTCCAGAAATTTTGGGTCATGGAGGTCAATTGAGGGGAAAGTCTTTGATTGATAGGGTGGTTTTCAATGCATATTGTCTGTAAGGGAATCCAGACAGGCACAGAATTCTGTGTCTAAATTGTTTATAAGGGTATTTTAGTATCTTTGAAAATAATTTTGCTCTTTTTGAATGAACAGAATGGTATGATTGAACAAGTTGAATCTTAGGGAAGTATTGTACTGTGTTTCTACCACATGTTATTTCGATTTATTTCATCTTACTAGTCAAAGAACACTTGATTGAAATGGCAGGTTTTATGGATAGGAAAAAGTACTCCTTATTTCAAAAGTTTTCACTTAATTCAATCAGAAATACCTACACAATAAGCTCTGAAATATCTCTTGTGGAAGAACTTTACAGTATATACTGTACAGTATTGCCTATTTCCGAAAAAAATTTCGGTTGGAAATGTGTTTGAAACTCCGAATTTCTATAAAATGAGTTTTCATCATTATAAGAAATTATTTATCACGTCCCTCCTGGGATTTCGTTTTCACGAGATTTTACTAAACACTATATATAAGGAGGAGACACGAAAGGGAATAATTCATATATGTCATAGGTTTCTCATTTTCCGCCTGTATTTATCTCCAAAACCCATGCAAATAGGCACAGGCGACAACAACCCCATCTATCGTCAAGCGAATCCTGCAACTGAAAGAAGATGAACCCAACTTATTCGCGTGGGAAATCCGACAGCGACTGGTAGCGTCCCATGCATCATCATCATCATCATCATACACGGGATCGCCGCCATCGACAGCCGACTTGACGTCACGCGTAGTGCCGCCACATGACCACGACATTCCGAGTGCTGTGCCATCAGTGCCGGCGATAAACCGCATTTTGAGGAACGCCACGGCGGCTGCAGCCGCCGTTTCCACGCTTTCAGCTGCAGTCAAGGCGCCACCTGGGACAATGGGCGCCGGTTCGCATCACCACGATTTTACTTGGGTTTCGCCACCGCCGCCGCCATCATCATCGCAGCACCAAACAACGGCGGTTTTGTCGAGAGATGATGATGATGATGATTTGCACGCGAATAATAGAACCAGGGTTACTGAGCTCGTGCAATTCCGGAAGCCCCTTGGCTCAGGTGAGGTTTGACTTTGACTGATGGCGGCTTGTGTGAATTTCAGAAGAAGATATTTTCAGAGAGCAATCTTGATACATTTGCGAGAGTGACATCTCGCCAGTCCATGGAAAATTGTGCAGAAATATCTTGGCCCTTGGTCCAAAAATGGGTTTGGGAATACAGTGAGACCACAAGATGCGGACCTAATGGGTGCATCAAGAGTGCCCCCAAGTTGAAATGTCCCCAAGTTGAGTCTCATTTTCCCTAAGACTTACATTAAATATATTTAATTGGTGTTTTTATGTACAAATTACTGACCATAATTCCATGAAAATAAAAACTGTCCCCAAATTTACACAGATTCCAATCAATATATTTCAACACAATATGAGCATTTGAGGAATTTAATACTGAAACCTCTGTACAGCACATAGAGATGTTGGCATTCTCTGTGAAAAAAAAAACATTCAAGTGAAAAAGGAGAAGTAAGTCCCTCTATGCTGGAGGTAATTTTTTTCAATTTGCAAAATGGATGGTGAATTGGTGAGAGAAATGCCAAAGAACTTTTCTTGCATCAATTTTAGGGTTGGAAATATCTGCTTCTTGTAATTTTGCCAGGAATGTATTTGCAATTTTATAAAAAAATGTCCATATTTCAAGTCAGTGTCCTCATGTTGTGCCATTTTTATTAATTTTTTATGTTAATGTAAGTGTCCCTATGTCAAATTTTCCACAGGTTGAAGTGTCTGCATGTGCGGGGGTCTCACTGTACTGTACTGACCTAGGTTCTATAGACCCATGGTCCATGGACCGGCACTGGTCCACGGACCGGCACTGGTCCACAGGACTTTTTTGCTGGTACGCCAGAAAATTTCCAACAAAGGGATAAAATAAATGTGTGGAGGAAATGATGCAAGTTAAAACGTCATGGCCATAATGAAAAAGCATCAGAATGAACAGAGATGAGAAAATACTGTACTTATATACAAGATTAAAAACTTGTTGTTGCTTTACAATTTAGTATATCACCTATCTGAAATCCAATTTTTCCTCAACTGCTATATTTTTCAAAAAATATCTTCAACCAATTTCCTTTTCAAACCTCTTTATTTGCTGCAGAAACTGCTCATGTGTTTGGAGTTTTCTTGCCGTGTTCCACTTCACCTTGCAGAAGAACATTGTGAAGATGGCAAATGTTATCAATAAGTGGAATGCGTCGAGAAGGCTTTTTCTATTATCCCCAGATATAAGTCCTGAAAGTCAGTGAATGGATTTACAATATATTGGAATGCTGTTCTAATTTGGTACAGGTTTTGGAACATGCAAATAATGCTCTTCTGAATTGCTTCATTACAACATCCAAAATTTAGGCCAGGCTTGCTTCTGCTAGTAACTGCAGAATCCTTTTTACAATTTAATAGAAAGATGCCAGCCACGATGAACATTTACTCAGAGACAGTAGAATTGTGTGAGAAATCAATTCAATTCCTTTCCAATTTTCTTTTTCCCATAGGATCTACCGCTATGAGATTAATTGTACCTGCCAATGAAATGAAATTGATTGCTTCATCCGAATTCAGATATTGTACTATGCATGGCTTTTGAAGTCCAATTTATCAAAATACGTTGGTCATGATTTCGTGAAACATACAATTTAATTTTTACAATGTCTGCATCACTTTTCGAATGGGTCAGGTTTTTTTATACGATTGTTGATTGTGTCATAATCTGTTTTACCTATTGTGGATGTCGTTTTTTGCTTTTATCCTCTTATATCAATAATTTATTTGCAATGAGATTCCCAAGAAGTATGGAAGGCATTAGAAATTCCAAATATTTCACTGTGCTGCTCCACGTGACGAAATTGATCCACATTTCAAACGCAAACTTGTATCTAGAGCTGAGCTCACAGTTTATTACCTCACAAAGTAAATGAAATTCTTTTTCAGTAAATGCTTATGATTTTTTTTCCTATTATAGGGCACTCCTTTTTCATTCAGTTGGATAAAAAAAACAATGTACTGAATTAATTTTCCCATCCTTACTTGAAAAAAAAAAAACTGATGGGGATAAAGCAGATATTTTTTCGGTTTCCATCTTCATTCCACTTCGATTATTTTACTGCAAAAGTATAGGACAAAGAAACAATTCATTTCTGATATAAATGTTGAAACAAATCACAAAATTCTGAAACAGTACCTTAGTTTAGGCATGGGGTGGAATAAGACAAATGAATATGTAAATGCTTAATCTGAATGACAAGGTTTCCCTCATTTTGGAGAGTGAAAATAACAGGTTCCTGGTATGAGACAACTTCATTTGCTGTGGGAGTCAAATCATTTTTGATATATGAATTTCTTCCTGTGACTTACAGCAAAACTTTATTTAAGTACAGGTCAGAATTTCAAAAATGTCAAAGTCTCTTTTAATGAATTAATACCACTCCAAGGGGGAATTTTTATTGTGGTATTATAAATATAGTGCTTCATGTGAACAAGTTCAAGCAAACCCACTCCTTGACCAATTGGTACAACAATATGCAAGACATTGACTTCACATATATATTTTGGGCATTGAAAAGATTGTACTTACAATTTTTGTTGTCAGTTTGATCAAACAGAAAAGTTGATTAAGATAAATTTTGAATATATTTCAAGAAACCAGAGTTGAATCAAGGAATAAAGTACTGTATAACACAACTACTTGAGACTTGTGCTTGTCCAATAGAAATTAGATTGCTTTCTAAATACCGTATGCAAATGTTCATGGTGTGTTTTGATGCAATTTTGGCAGATGCAGATAACGGTTCAGTGGCTGAGAAGTGCACAAACCCATCCATGGAGTCATGGAGACCAGAAATGTTGCCAAAATTGCTCCACAAATCAACAGAGCTACAATTACCACAGCATGCAGCCTGGAGAATGTTCTCCACACCAGCCTGGTTTCCCACCATGTTCTGCCCAACACAAGACCAAATGGCACTCCATCACACCTTACTCAGCAGGACTTACCAATCAGCCCTCAATGCACCATCATGGACCTTTGGTGACCAGGGACTTCAGCTGCATCCATTACCTTTGGTGGCAGCTGCGGCTGCTGCAGCAGCTGCTGCTTCATCCATGCCCCAGGGGTTCAATGGTTTCCAGGACAGACTGGAGAGACCAGGCACTTCTAGACAGTCTTCTAGTAGAGCTACTTCTTATACCATTGAGGCCCTATTGGCTAGGGAGACACAGAGGGATAGAGAGAGGAAGAAGGAGGAGCCACAAGAAGAGAACAATGACCCTGATTCATCAACCACTGATCAAGGCATGGAGAGACAAGACAAAAGTGAAGATGGGGACTCATTGGATGAAGGTTCTCAAGCTGGGACAGCAAGAGATTGATTCATACTCATGCATTTGTTCATTTCAATGACATAAAGTATGTCTGCAATGACTCACTGCTCTCATCCCTCATACTTCCAAGGGTCTGATCAATTTGCACCAGGTGTGACAAACCCTCACATAGAAAATTCATGGAAATCTAGTCAGCATCATTTATTGGAATTAAATGAAATTCCCTCTTCTCACATTTCTGGTTTTTTTCCTAGGTGTCGCATCCTTCAGCATATGAAAATAAATTTCTGCCTCCCATCCCATTTCTGCAATTGAGGTTTCTCATGACCTGAAATATAAAGTGGGACAAAATACTGTTCAGAAGTTCTACTAACTGTGAGAACTCAATGTTGAAAAACATGACTTTAAGATTATAATTTGTGATTTATTGGACTTCAGAAAAACATGGATTTTTTTTTTACTCAAAGATTTGAACAATGTGACACTGTTTGTGGTGAAGTATAACGTGCACACATCTGAGAAAACTTTGATACATATTTGCCATTCTATGAGGTCTCACTGTTACATGCAGCAGAACCTGCTACAAAGAATTTATTGGGACCTGGAAAAGAGCATTCATTCTTACAAAATTCATCAACACTGAGCCTCAAAAACCAGTTTGGCTACATGAAATATGAATTCATCATACACAAGAATTACTTACAAAGATGGTTGCCTAAACAAGGTTCTTCACTGCATGTTGTTTCGTCACATTTTTCTTTTTATACCGACATTTTGATTACGTGTTAGATAATTTAGGATACTTCTCATTTCAACAAATAACTTCGCACTCTTAGATGTCGCATCAATCAGCTATACATACTGGATCATACTTCAAATGCTCTCAAACGTTGTTCCATTCCTTTTTTATGAAATTGGACATTTCTTCTTCCAGAAAACGGTTTGGCAAAGATTATCTCCACAGAGTTTCCAATAAGGATTAGTTCACAAAAATAAATGGCCTGGTTGATGCATTTCACCCAGACAAGCACAGATCAAGCTATATTTCCCCATCAACCTAACAATGGGCACAACCTGGTTGAATGAATTGTTTGCGCTGAAAATGATTACTTCCCAACCTAATTTGATATACTTCTTAGGCTATTGTTTCCATGATTAAATCTTTTAGCTTCTCTTGTTTTCAAGAAAAGTGCTTAGATTATAGGCCAGGCAAAATTTTTAGGAATTTTTTTTTATTACAATGGACAGTTTCAAAGTTCTGGAACCAATTAAAACTACTTCTATAGAAGTAGTTTTAATTGGTTCCAGAGCAAAAATTGTTAACCGAATAGTTGTTTAACAAAATCACATTTTCCCTTGAGAAAGTATATATACTTTCTCAAGGGAAAATGTGATTTTGTTAAACAACTATTCGGTTAACAATTTTTGCTCAGGAATGGATTAAGTTTGTAAACCAAGGCCCCACTGTAACTTGGAGGAGGAAAAAAAATCAGTGTTCCCTAACCTTTTGGGCTTGAAGGCCAGCATATTTTCATCAAACTTTCTGTGGACCGGCAATGTTCCATAAATCTTTTGACAACCAGCAGAAATTTTTCAAATACCTGCCATTCATGCAGTCCTCAAAATAAAACTCTTATTACAAGAATGAAGTTTAGAACCAATGAAGCAGCTATCTAGGTGAATGTCTTTAAAAATTAGAAAGTTGGGCTTCAAGAAAGTTTTCTCACATTGAAAACTTCATATAATACATAGGAGGTGAAAATATGTCTGAAGTGCTGCAATTTGGAGAAAAGCCAAATTTAATTTCATCAGCTAATTTCAGCTGTCATAGTACAGTATTTTGGGAAATTTTGGGCAACAATAACAAACTCCATTATTAATGTTGATAAATGTACAGTACAACTACTGTACAGTGCTGTACTTTTGAATGAAGTCACTTCCTTATGTGATGTACCCTATCATGTTATATAATGGCTGTGAAGCACGTGAGGAAAACTCGTCATGCATTCGGTAAACGTTGTAACTGCAATCACAGAAAAAATATGGGTGGGAGTAAATTTGTCCCTCTGACTTCAAATCTTATCAGGCACCATGAAGTTTTTGGTGTTGGCTGTAACACTGCCAAAATGGTCGAGGAAAGGAATGCAAACCAAGGCACAAGGGGATGAGGTGATGGGAATACATTTCTCTTGTTGCAGGTAAAGTTTAGATTTTTTTTTTACAAGATTGAAATACGGCGCACCCGCGCAACCATTCCCTAGGAACCTCTTTGGCTCTCTGCCTCAAAAAAATAACCTAAAAGAAAAATCGCGAACAGAAAAAAAACCAGACTGCCGACACAGAATTTCTTTCACCATAAAATTCCACCCTGGAAGCTCCAACAAAGAGGCTCCAAGTGGAGATAACAAAAAAATGTAGCTTCCAATCCATCCATGCATGCTGTTGAAAGGGCAAGACCGTTTTCATGTTTTCCTTTATTTCTTGTGGTGGCTGTAGGGACCTGAACAAAAGAAAGCGAACACACACACACAGACTCTAGAATGAAAATGAGTGACCTTAATGCTTCCCTCATCTTAAAGTGTTGCATCACATATGCAGAATCTACATGTCATGATATATGGACCAGTTGACAAGGAACAACTAATGAAATTCTCCACTGTAGTCATTATTGAGGTAAACACCAACTATCTATTTATTTTTTATTTCTAGTTTTTGCCGCTCAACAGCAGTATGGCCATGTGAGCAAATGCTTGCATGGCTGAAGTACATAGAACTGGACCCAGCTACAACCTGCTCTTATTTCTCAGCAAGCGCTTCACCTGTCGCGAAGAAATCACATACAGTCTCGCTCAATTCAACAAAATGCACCAGGTGTCGCTAACTGCATACTCTTAATAATTCAACGTTTCGCCCATCGAGTACTTAATTGTATCATTACATGGGAAATAAACATATTCGAAACAATGGGAATCAATATCAGGAGGCTTAAAAATGCTTGAAAAAGATTATAATATCTATTTGTGGGCTGATATCATATTTTAAAGTACTCTTTTGAGAATATGTGTTTTAAAATGGTGAAATTGAAGATTTTGCAAAGATGTTAACGAATCAAGATCGTACTTCACAGGATCATTTCTGTAGTATGATTCAACTCATGCTTTCACGAGCTGAGTGTAATTTTACCCACGATGATGAGTCGAACATCGGGGCTGGAGCGGGAAACTGGTTGACTTTCCTTGGAAAGTCAGCTGTGATGACCGTGCAGGCTTCGATGTGGACTGAGTGGTTCCATTTGAAAGGATGGCTATAAAACAAGAAGGGAAACGGGACGGCAAGAATTCTCGTTACTATCGCAGTGCTTTGAAAATCCCCTAGCTCACCGTAACAGAGTGTTCTGTCACGGTGTAGAATGCAATACTCATGGGGCTGCATTGTGTAAACTGTAGGGATTTGATGCACAACCCTTCCCTGAAGAGAATGCTTGAAGATAAACTTGCCGGAATGGTGTAAGGGAATGGGGGTCTCCTACCACGTAGCATACATTTCTGCCATATTGCCCTCCCTCCCAGAGAAATGGATGTCGTGCCAAGTATCTTTTCCACATTTCCACTGAAGACACCCAGCAGGATGGAGATGCACCCGAAAACTTGCCCAAAACATTGCAGATATCAGGGATGGATTTTTTTCTTGACAGGCCTTGCTTTAAAAGTAATTTAGTACATTTGGGGAATTATTATTTATGAATTCATTTGGGGAACATGTATTGTCAGTTCGCCTTGAACGTGGTACGATGTAATGCTGGAGCACATACATCAATGCTATACATAAGGGCCATTGAAAGTGTACCCTATTATGCAGAGAGGGACGAACTGAATTCCGGGGAATGAGCTCAAGCAAGAAAAAAATCATTCCTTGTAGCTCTTATGGACGCATAGTTTGCATGAAAACCTTCAAAATTTCGCGTTGGGTCCTTTAACTGCTTAATTTATCCTTTCCTCGCAGCTGTTGCTGGATCTTCGAGCAGTTGCTACTATAGCAGTTATATCAGATATACAAGGCATTACATCCATTGACCAACTGCGCACGGATGATCTATACCGATTGAATTCTGGAGAATTAGGAAACCAGTAAATCAGTATAAGGAAGGTGACTGAACACGCCTGAAACGTTATTGCCTTATGGTCATATAAACAATCATCACGTGAGTTATTCCCTAATATAAATGCTACAATATCGCACTTTTATTTTCTGATGTGTAGTCCTATCGTAACGCAAACTCTTCCCACACTCCGGGTTAGGGCGGTGCTGGTTTACTAGTGTTCTCAACCTTTTTGGGCCAATGGACAGGCAAAAAAAATGCCTAAAACTTGTGGGGACCAGCAAGATTTCATGAAATTTTTGCTGACTCCAAAAGTTTTGTTTGAAATAATTTAGGCAGGTATTTACAAGTTTATGCTCTTTTTGGAAACATTGAGTGGAGAATGAATGAATTCATCTTAGTGGAATTTCTTAATAAAATTAGAAAGGTGGACTTATTGGAAGGTTTCACAAAAACGATTTTAAAAATGTATTTCAGCAGGTACAATTTATGTCTTGAGCATTATATGGAGGAAAGCCAAATTTCATTTTCTGTCAGATAATTTCAACCGCCATTGCCTCTGAAATTTCAGAAGCAGGTAACAAACTTCATAGCTACTTTGGATGGGTTCATTATGTTGAAGAACATTTTCCATGGGTGAAAAAAAAATTCTGGTTCGGGAACACTGGCTTGTTAGGTTGCGGCGCCTGTGTTCAGGGATGAAAATTCAATCCAGATATAATTACAGGATGGGCCGGAAAAATGAACCAATATATGACTTAGAAAAGCCCAGCAGAAAATTCAGCTTTGAGAATGATGAAAATGCCAAATAAAAGTTTGTTCAATTCCCCTGGAAATGGTATGCAGTTTTATGGTCAAAAGTGCCTTTCCGTGTTGACAAGAACTATTTGAATGAAAACTCACAAAAAAGTTTTCAAGCAACTCCTTCCACTGTTCTGTAGTTCTCCAGAGCAGTACTTGGAGATAAATGAGGTACAAGAACATTAATTTAACCAGAAAACTTCATGCTGCCTTCTATAGTGTGGAAACATGCCCAAACTTTAGGAGATTGGAGTGAGAAGTGCACAAACATTTCAGCAGTGAAATTTTGCTCCACTCCTGAATCCTGATGAAAGCTTGCTGAGTGCCAGCCTATATGGCTCCTAAACTGTGACCCTTGCAAGCAAAGTTATTTCGTATGCCTGCAATGCTGCAAAATCAGTTTCACTCATTAATAATGAAAATTCACTGGTGGATGTGTACTCTATATTGTGCATTTTCATCTGCGAGATTGAAATTTTTCATTCTTATTTTGATATTTGTTCTTCCTGACTTCTGCTTGTGAAGATCAGAAAATGGAAATTTCTCAAAAATGAAACCAAGATGACAAAACTGATGCCTGGCTATTGGCATTATTGAGCTTTCCACTCAGACCAAACAAATTTGTATGCATCCACTTGACAGCTCAGCATGACATGATGCTTGTTGATTAACCCTTGGACAGCTAAGTTGGACTATTTTCGTGAAATTTCGTACCACCTCAGAGAGGTAAAGAAAAAAATGAGGACAAGTAGCCAAGGGCGAAGTCGGGAATAATCCCGGCGTTTTTTTCCCTCCCAGCAGAAAAATTTTGTTGGCAAAAAAAAAAAACTCTCAGTTAGGCTACCAGCTTTTTTGGGATTAATCCCGACTTTGCCTCAGCCCACCTGGAAGGGTTTTGGTGACCTTCCCAAGACTGAAAATGCGGGAGGATACGAAAATAATCCAACTCCGTCCCGCTATGGGAAAGAACCCTCCGCCGTCCTAGGGTTAAATACTGGTGCCGCCATCCCATTTATCCCTGAAAACAGCTCTGGAGAACAGCAGCCTTGTGCTGGCAGGAGTTGCCTGACAACTTTTGAATTTAAATTTTGTTTTTATTCCAATGGTTCTTTTGACCATGCAAAGGCAATTTCGGAACCCATCAGCTACATCTCTTTCAAAAAAAGAATGGAACAAGCTTTAATTTAAGTTTTTTCCATCTTCACACCTTGAGTCCACAATCAGTCTACTTTTTGTGGCCCACCTTGTATAACGATTTACAATTGATGATTTTGATCTATCGCCACAGACCAAGGAAAGTGGTGTTGCAGTCAAGATGAACCAGCAACTGAAGCAATTGCTGGCAAAACTGCCAGCAGCAGCACAGAATACCAATAAGCTAGCTGCATCCTCCAACAAGATGATGCTGACTGCAGTTGACTGGGTGCGGGCAAAGAAAGCTTATTCCTCTGACTGGTTTCAGACCCTCATTCGCAGTGCTGCCAATAAGACAAGCACTTACAGAGATAAGATGGATATCTTCAAGTCCAACAGAAAGTCAGCTGGTGCCTCCTCAGTGAACATGCAAGAATGTCCGTTCCATCGTGTGGCAGGTGGGGCAAACCAAGATCAAAAGGGCATGATGACTAATAGTGCATCAACACCTAAGCCCCCAGCCCGACCCTCTTCTGCAGATTGATGACCACTCTGCAAGGAAAGATGTTTTAGTCGAACAATGAATTGTTATGCACATTTGTTTCTGGTGAATGAGCCAGAGTAGTAGTGTTCTAGAGTTTTATTCCTCATAGTTTTTTCTTTCATTTGGGGATGTATCTTGTTCTTTTTTTATATCCATTGATGATGTCTGTGTTGATCTGACAAAAGTATAAAGGTTGATTGCAATCTTTTGGCTTATTAAGCATCTAACCTATATGAAGATGCATCACCCATGCCTGTACGTAAATAATCTGTGGTTCACACTGCGCAATTAATTTTTTAAATTTCTATTATGATTTGCTCAATTTATATGCTCAGGACCTCATCAGAGACACTGTTGGACGGAATTCTGTCTTCTAAATTGTACTACATTCAAACCTCAATTACTCAACCCTCCCAAAGTCAAATACCTTAGTTTTTAAGTCACTGCTAAATTTCTTAAGAAAAAAGGATTTGAAAACCTCCCTAAATCAAGAGTTTTTCCTATCAAATCTCCCTAACTTCCATTTTTTGGAGGCCTTTTGGCTACTTTTCTTGAAACAGGAAAGATTGAAGCATTAAAAACATAATTTGGTGTGATCTGAAAGGGGAGGAAAGACTAACTTTGGGAAATTTAGTAGCTGGCTCAAAGTTCAGCATCCTGTCAACTCATTTAAGATGTAATTTAATGCCCACAACATCAAAATTTATAATTTTGCGAAATTCTTCTGTGATGTATGCAAAAATGCTGGGCTTGAATACTCAAACCTATAATTTATGTGGCCCAATTTTTTCTGTAAACCCAGCAAATAATTTTGATGTTTCAAAATGCATTTGGAGGGCATTCTCATGCCATTATGGCAAGACTGTTGTGAAAACATCATCTTGGTCTTTACTCAATGCCCTGCCCCCTAATGTTGGCAGGGGGCCTTTTGAAATGGGCTTGGAACCCTTTGCCAGCAGGGTTGAAACCATTGAGCCTGAGAGGCAATAAAAAAGGGCAACAATGCCTACCATTCAATTGCCATTGGCAAATGCATTCCCAAGGTGACGCCAATGGTATTGCCCCAATGTCTGACAGCCCTAAAAAAATAAAAAATAAATTTCCCATTTCCTTGCTGCTAATTACTTCTTCATATTGCCTTCTTTGTGTTATACTCTTTCCTCTTTCTTCTTTACTCCATTTGTGTGGTTTCTGTTCACAATATTCTTTGCTGCTGCTTCATCTCCCTTGCTTTGAATCTGCTGTCCTGATGATGCTCCTGGGTATCAAA